CAGATTGTTAAACTGCCCCCCAATAATGAGGAGAAAGAGGATAAGATGGACAATGGACAGCAGGAGGTGAATATTCCATCTTCCACCCCCAGCTCGGTGACAATCACCCCGATCACCACTGTGGGTGACTGCACCATACGGCCCGTGGAGAACACATAATATGTACCGATACTCTTGATCTACCCCATTGTCAGGCCGAGTAAGTGAACGTACGAAACTAAATAATCCTTCAGTCAAATAATACTCTATGTATGTTTAAATTTTATTATATTTTTTTGATGTAATATAGTTTGTGTTCAAACTAATTTATTACAAATTTCAATTTAATTATGCTAATATAATATAGAGTTATGTACAACTCGAAATGTTACAAACATCCAAAAATGTCGAATAACTCGTTCTTATATATTATTTTTGTTGACTGAAGGGTTTATTGAAATTCGTACTTTGGGTTCGTGTATTTGTGTGTTTGTGTATTCGTCATTTCAACAGTATAATAATCAAAATTTAATCTTTAATCTACGATGAAATGACGAAAATTAGGTCTTCCGGAATGTGCTCGGCTGTACGAACCATGAGTTCTAAAGGGGTAGATCATGAGGGTTTTTTTTGGTGGCATTTGCTATGTATGCCTCGACATACAAGTTTCCACATATTCATTAGCCTCGATTTTGTGAAAGTGACAGTAAATTCGAGCGAAGCTACGTGATTGGTTGATAAAATGTCACGTGACAGGAATCAACCAATGGGATTGTTTTATTTCGGATCGAGGATGATTTTAGATATAAGTATTGCCTAAATGTGACCGATTCTCTTATGATGAACGTAGGTGCGCGTATTGATTTGCTGGTTGATTATAAAAACGCATTTTAATGTAAAATGTATGATGTATGTGTTAGCGGTAAAGAGTTTCATTCGCATAACTTACACGTGTTCACTTTTAAAATTAGGAAAAATATTTGCCTTGATCGTTATGCGTAGTTAAGTCTTCCTGCCCGAGAGGCAAATGCTACCTAGATGACGTCACGTCAGTCCTAGTGGTAAATATTACCAATATGACGTCACGTCAGTCCTAGTGTGAAGTACTACCAAGATGACGTCACTTTAGTCCTAGTGGCCAATGCTACCACACTATCGTCGCCATAAACGCGAGTTTAACCTAATCCTAGTTAAACTGACTGTCTAACATGCATTTAGATTGGTGGTGTGAACTAAAAAAAAATCATTTTACCGAAGAAATTAACCATTTAAAATAAGCTTTACAATCATCAGAAGAAATATGGCATCAAAATCACTTCTTGAGATGATCTTAACTATTTTAACCGATACATAGCCATAATAATAAGGAAAATAATTAGTTTTTAGGATACTTTTATGTGTAGTACTACAGGATATACTATATGATGCCATATTTTTCTAATGTTAGAGAATAAACAGTGATACTCAAACACAACCTGATACCAGAACAAAGAATTTGTCACAAGCTAGCGATTGGTCTACTTAAATGCACTTTATTACCGCTGAATTAGGTTGAATATTGGATACCCTAAAATTAAACTACATTTACTCGAAAAAGGATAAATTTTTCTCAATAATTTATGTATTTAACTGTCAAATTAAGTCTGTTTTGTGCATACATACATATAGTTTCGTCAGTCTTACCTATGGTTTCTGAGACCAAAATGTCAGTATTAAACATATCGTCATCTCTGTCATTATCTTTGGGAGAACAGAGACAACAATATGTTTTATATTTGAATGGTATCAGAAGCCCACATTTATAAATGTAATTAACATATCAAAGTATTCATTTCTCGGTAATAAAGTGTACAGGCCAGTCATAGTAAGCAGTTTACGTACATAATATAAACATATAAGCATTGTAATATTTTGAGATGTTCTACATATAGGCAGCATATATACTAAATAATTTAATATTAATTATGATATAGGATCGTATACTCTTGCCTTAGTTTCTTCATCTGTGGTCAAGTCACCACTAAATCTGGATCTGATTAAAATATAGTGGTTCTAGCATTCCACGAACATTAAAAAATAATTGTATAATACTCAATCATTTTGAGTGATCTACATTATATAGTAGAGCCGTACTGGCTATCATATAATCTTAAAAATAAGTTTCAAAATGACATGTAGTGGATGCACGCTATTTCGCCTTTCCCAGGTCTTTCTGTGAATACTAGAACTTAGGACGTAGTGTCTTAGATTTAAAAAAAAACATATTCTAAATATTTTAAACACGGCAACACCACACGAACAAGTGATACGATAGCTACTTATTTTTAGCAGAACATAATGTTTATGACATATATATTTCTTTAATCGATTTTTGCCTGTAATCATAGTCTTAATGTATCGTAGACCGTAATTTGTGACAGCTAAATCTGAGCTGTGAGACAGCCCTGATTGGTATATTTTATTTTCTTACAAAACATAACATTTTTAGTTCCTTTAACTTTAAAAAAAAAACATACTTTTGAATTTAAATTAAGAAGGAAGAGGTCCTTTTTAAAATGATTAACAAACAGAGACAACAAATATATTGTTTTTTTTTCTTCCACGATAAAAAGGTTAACAATTTTTTTTGTACAATTATTGCTACAGTGAAAAATTATAATTACTTTTTATTATATTTAACTCGTATACAAACACTTAATATAATTTCGAGTACATTTACTCTTTAATTATATCGATATCTTGAAAGTATTACTCGCTATAAATCATTTTTGAAATAAGAAATATTTCTTTATAATCTGTGTACAGTAGTATAGTTCCTAAAAACATGTAATCGATGCAAAATTATATAACCCTTGCAAGTAGAATTAAAAGTAATTTAATTTCATTTTAATCGTTTAGATTTAAGTTTTATATTCGATCAATTTAATGTAATATTAGTGCTTCACTACTAGTGGTACGTCACATCATATTTATAAGTAATTTTCTTTAACTATAATTATAAGTTTAACGTATTTGACGGAAGACTGCTCGGTACGATTATCAAAACTAAGTTGATTTTGACGTCGGTTCGGCCGGCTTTGCAATTTAATCTTTTTTTTTATTAAGTCTTAGAGCCCCGAAGAGGCATTGGTCGTCGTGAGTCTCATGGCAAGCTAAGCTTTCGAGAGTTTAATTTTAAAACGAAAGAATCTGTATTTTTATAATAAAACTAAGCTAAGTTTACTTTACTCCCCTATAACGTATCTTGTATCCCACATATTAGTGTAGTGTTAACGTCTAAGTTATAATTACGAAGCCCTATTGGCTCTGCGTTTAAAGCCCGGTTTACACTATACCAGTACAGTACGACAGTAACTCCGAACTGTCACGGACTGTTTGGACCACTGGCGCCAGTTAGTGTGAACATTAAGCCTAGTATGCCAGCGCTGATTTTGAGAGCTACTGTACTACTGTACTGGCATAATTAAAGCCAGGCATAAGTTTAAGTGAATTTCACTTTGAACTCACTTCACGGGTCGAAATCCTTGTGTAACTTTTTGTGATCTTTTTTCAGAATTGAAAAAAATGTTTTACTTTTCTACCTCTTTTATTTTAAATCCAATTATTTTTTTGGATGAATCGAAATTTTACTTTTATTTAAAAAAAAATTAAGGAACCATTTATAAAACTTGTAATAAATCAATTTAATCAAATATTATTTCATATATTTTTTCTTTTTTTTTTGTAAAACCGTGGTTATTTTGTTTAGAATCAATATTAAAATTTGGTTGTATCGGTTAGATCTGGACCCGTGATCGTATGATATAATTTAATTTCGGAGTATTTTGGATGGATTCATTATTTATAGAATGTTTGAGATGTTCGCTGTTTGATTGCATTTATTTTAAGTTTATATCTTGTTGTTTTCATTGCAATGGTACAACTATAGTACCGTGATTTTTTTAAATTTACTTTCGTATAACTAAATTTTTTTTCGTTGCACCATTGAAACCTTATTCGAAACAATTGAAATCATATACTAAAATATTTTGTTAATTTTAACATTTGACAGTTTTTTTTTCTTCTTTTGAACAATGAGCAGTTTCACAATGAACAAGCACACACATTAGTTACGTCAAAATAGTTTTCAAGATTATTGGGAGCTAAAGACATATTGTAGTTTATTGGCAGTTTAAACATTCATTTTTATTTATAGGTCATTTTAAAAGTTATTAACTTTGATCAACATCAGGTGAAATTTCTTCATCTCCATCTTTATTCACATCACTAATTTTGACGTAACTGACGTGCGTGACTGAGAAATGGCGGGATTTTTTTTAATAAACTCTGCCTATTGTTCCTTTTAATGTTTTCAAAGCCCAAGTATACTTAGTTTATAATAACAATGGCTATTTCAAAAGTTTTAGTTTATAGAAGCTGTTTGTGGTCTAAGGACAGTTTCTGCGAAATTATTATGTTTAGTTGTAATCGATATTTTTCTATTGTATTCCTGTATTGTGAAATGTTATTCATTTTACGTTGTGATCATGTGAGTGCAAAATTTGTTTATTATAACCAGTTTAATTTGACCTTACGTCAATACGAAGGCAGCAGAAGTTAAGGCGCATGTATTTTTTCTGCGTAGTCCAAGAGCAGTATTTTTTAGCTGTAATCTTTATTATTATAACTTTTTTTTTATAATTTTTAACATTTATGAAATTCGATCGTTAGTTTATTTCTAACAATGAAATATTTAATAAAGAAATCGTAAAATAATTGGACTTTTATTTTAAAATAAACTGATTCTTTATATTTTTAATTAAAAAAAATAGTATCTCGTGCATGTTTTATTTGAGCAAATCCGTGTTTGTTTTGGGTAACATTCGAAACATTTTACTTAAACTGGACGGTAGGTGATGAATGTGGGAATAACTTAAATTCTTATTTTATTTAATCCGCGGTGACGAAGTCGCGGGCAAGCGCAAGTTTTTATAATAAAGCTTTAAAGTGTCAATTGCAAATTAGGATAAATGAAAAACTCATTAACATAAACACAACTGCTTTATTTTATATAAATATAATTTTATATTTGGATACCACACTTTAGTATTGTTAGAACGTTTCTCAAGTAATTATTATATGACAGGATATATATTACAGATTATATTCACATATAAATTGAGTTAAGTGCCGGGGGGCGGCGGCGGGCGTCGCGCCCACTGCGGCTGCGGGCCCGGCGCACTACAAAAGCCCGAGCCGAACACGGGACCTGCCTGCCTCATAGGCGGCGGGATGCTCATGGGCGGTATGGGACCGAACATTCTCGGTCTACCACCGAATTGGTACGCATCGCCTATGAACGGAGGAGGAATGTAAGGATCGAATGGCGGCACGCACATTGGTGGCCGGTTGAAGGGCGGCGGCCTGAACGGTCTGGGAGCAGAGTCGTTGGGATGCGGCGGCGTCCTGGCATCGTTGAACGACCACGCGGACCATGGACTGACGAATCTGAAGGGGTTGAGTCCTCCCCCGCCATACCCGGCTCCATTTCTACCGAAGCGGCTGCTACTCTCTGCGGGTCTTTGGTTTCTCCTATCTCTCTTGGGCGGTTGGCTGTTTGTTTTGCTGGTCTCTCCACTTTCGGTCTTCTTGTTCTGTTCCTTGCGGGCCCGGTTGGCGCGGCGCTCCTCCTCATCGTCGGAGTAGTCCACATGGCTCGGCGGCGGTTCGATGTCGTGCAGCCATGATGCGTCGGAACCTTTCGATCTAGAGAAAATTTCAAGAACAAATGTTTTGATTTATTTCATACAAAAAAAGTATTTGTCAAAATAAAGACTATGCTTTCATGTAATGGTTTAGTTAGTTTTGTACTGACTTCATAAGTTCTGTGAGGAAGACGTAGTTGGTGTGGTCGCGGCTGCGCGGTGCAATGTACACATCCATCCCGGGCTGCACGCCGCGCTCCTTCACATGATCAACGGAATTGAACCGCACACAGTAGTGTGGCTCTGTTACCTGTAACACACAAAAACACAGTAAGAAGAACTAGCTAAGTTTAGTACAGAAAATAAAACTAAAGGCCCATTACCTTGTCTAGCTGTTAGTAAAAATACAAGAATATTTGGAAAGAAGCTAAACTAGCAGGTATCAAAAACTATTTCAATAACTTGTCTAGAATGATGATCACTTTTTGTCCACTTAAATAATGAGAATAGTTCTCTTGAGAAGAATGACAGATTATTTTTAATCAGTAATTATCACTCACAGGTCCAAAAACATCAAACACCTTCCCCAATGCCCGAGCACCGTTATCAAGGAACAATATGCTGTCTAAATCAACAGCTGGAGTCTCTGGCATCGCACGAATTATCACTGCAAACAAAATTAATAAAAAAAGATACAACTATATTGCATATAAGTTAACAAAAACTCTATATAATATAGTCAAAACTGGATATATTGAATTTGTAGAAACAAAGATAAATATTCAACTACAAAGACGTTGATGAAATAAATTGGCTTATTACATCATCTGTCATTTGTTAAATTGACAGTGTTTTAAAGATTCCGTTGGATTACATATACATTTACAGACAAAAATGAAGCACAAAGAAAGGTGACTCTAAGTCAGTGTCTTGTAGAAAGTTTAATATCTCACCTAATCTATCTACAATGTTGAGGATAGTGCCAATCTTAGTGGTCTCCTGGGCCGGCAGGCTAATGGCAAGGTCTTCAATGGGCGGCAGGTCATCCAGACCCAATTCTCCATGAACCTTGATTGGTTCCACTTTACTTGGTTTATTTTCACCATCTTCATCTCTAAAGTTTAAAATGTTAAGAAGAATATGACATTTCTTTTTAGTTCTTTGCTCCAATTAGCAAGCAAAAGATTCAATTATTAAATTCATACAAGATTAAAAGCTTTATTGTATTCCAATTTTTAACATTTAAGTAACAAAATAAACTTAATAGTAAAGTAATTACTGTATTTTTAATAAAACCTTGTATAAATTAACTAGCTGTCACCCGCAACTCCATAAAAGAAAACTTGATAAGTAGCCTATGTGTTCTCACAGATTATGTTCTACATCTACGCAAAATTTCAGCAAGATCCTTAGAGCCATTATGGAGATACCTTCAAACAAACATCCAACCATCTAAACATTCACATTTATAACATCAGTAAGATCTACAATTGCAAGCTGTAATAAAATGTTCACATACCCGCTAGAATTGTTACTCTCTGCAGGCTCTATCCAACCCTCATCGTCGCTGGAATCGCTCGATGGGGTCGAATAAGATTCACTATCAACATCCCTATACTCAGTCACTTCATAATTAACTACATCACTGTCTGAACCATCTATTATCATATGTGTGGCAGTTTTCATTTCTTTCCCTGCCGCGGAGGACAACGGGCCGTGGGCGCAAGCATTTATAATGTTATTTTTTATAACCATTTCACTATGTTCCGTGTGATCGTATTCTTCCCTACCAATTTGTCCACTCGAAGGCCCTTGAATATCTTCCGACTCAGAATCTGATGTGCCGTAATCGCCAACGAGACTTCGCGACACGTTTTTATTGTTTGTTTCGCCGTGTTTTTCCATGGTGGTGAAAAAATGGAAGGTATTTTTCAATGCCGTCCACTATGAGTTTTGGAAAATGTACTAACAAAGGATTTGATGGTGAAAAAAAATTACACTTTATGTAACCATATCTTGACAAAGATCCATAAGAATCGCAACTGTTCTTTGCGAAAAATGCAACCACGCAAACGTGAAAATGCAGAAAACGATGGAAGAACAGAAAACAATCAGTATCAATAAAATTATGACATTTGTTCACAATTCGCACAGATAAGATTTTACACGAGACGTATGACAGTAATAGGGATGTGACTTTTTATCAGTTTTTACAATACCAGGTTTTAAAATCACAGAAATTCGGTACGTGTCAAAAATACTCGTGTATAATAAAAATGTAGCAGAAACGATTTGGAAGAGAATAATTGAAAAGGATTGATCTCATTGAACAGCTATAAAAATCCTCTATCCATACACTTTTTAGTCCTTATTAATAACTTTTTCTTTTAAATGTTCTTCTGTAACCTGTTCTTGTTTAACCTGTTACAGTTCCACAGCTACCTTGCCTAATATTTCTAGGAGTTAAGAAAATGGAAAAAAGAAGGAAAAATTAATTTCCCTTGCTCAGAAGGATAAGCATTTTTAACAACGCGTATAAAATATTTATTGAGAGTTTAGATACATTTGTATAGATACAAAGTTACATATTTAGTTTTTTTTTTCGATACATATAAAGTTGATACATTTTACTTTATTCTTGAAAAGGTATAGCAGGAAGTAACTTTCCTTCGCAGCTACCGAAGCCGATTCTTATGCCATTTTCATCTAAACAATGACCGCGTAAAATTACAGTGTCGCCATCTTGTAGGAATTTTCTTTCTTCTCCATTAAGCAAACGTAAAGGTTTGGTTCCTTTCCAACTGAGCTCCAACATACTTCCGTATGAGTCAGAAGTCTGAAAATTAACATTTTACGGATTAAGTTTTTTTTAAAGTCTAAATTAATAATGAAGCATAGATCATGAGACTGACATCGCCACTGATGGTGCCAGAGCCGAGCAGGTCGGCGGGGCGCAGGCTGCAGCCCGTGACGGTCTGCTGCGCTAGCTGCTGCTTCACCGTCCAGTATAGGAAGCGGTAGTTAGAACGGCAGATGGTCGTTGCAACAGGAGAGCTCTCGGCTGAAATTAATTGTATTATTACGGTATTATATAATCTGTAATTTTAACTATGTAAGTCTTCATGAAGTGCATTTTACTATTTAGACTGTTACATTTTAAGATATATTTGTTCCATTTACGTAATCCAAGTGCTGTCGTTCGGAAGATTTTTCCTTGGTCTTAAAAGATCCAAATATTCATCAATCCTCAAGATCCATCATATTGTCAAGAATGTATTATTTCATAGAAAAATTACTTACGTCTCAAATCGACTTCTAGTTTGATATCAAAGTTGAAGTTATCATCGTGCTGTAAGTAAGGGAAGGGCGGCTTGTCCTGCGGGAAGTTGTCTACGATGTAGGGGCGCAGGGCCTCTATGGTCACGATCCACGGCGATATGCTGGTGCCCAGGTTCTTAGCTGTAAACGGCCCCAGAGGAACGTACTCCCATTTCTGGATGTCACGGGCTGAAAACATTTTTTGCTTTGAGATAATCTGCTAAGCAATCGATCAATATATGGTAAAAATGACCATATGTACTGCGGTTCCTATGATAAAGTTATATATGGTTATAATAAATCTTAAATTTTGTTTAGAAAAGAAATTGTAATTTTATTTATTTAAGTACACTTTCTTACCGCTCCAGTCATTCATAAGAACCAATCCAAAGAGTTTGTCCTCAGCTTCCTTCGCAGTGACTCTCTGCCCGACACTAGTGGGGGGACCACCCACAAAGCACGCCATTTCTAACTCAAAGTCCATTAGACGACAGGGACCGAAGTGAGGATCGGCACCTATGACGAAAACAGAATATAATGAAAAACATATTATGCTGAAATGTTAAATTTGCTAGCCTTAATTTGTCTTATATAAAATTTTGTATGAGCTGTGAAAGGGTTATTAAATAGTCAATCTAAGCCATTTCAAATTACAAACAAACAAGTAATATTATCTCATCCGCCTACCGTCAACTGGTAAAGTCTGTCCATACGGTCTGTAGATCGGCGTGCCGGACACCACTATTGAACTGCAACGGCCGTGGTAGCCTATAGGTATGTGCTTCCTGAAATTAATAAAAATTACCTTCACTGTTAGTACTAGTAGAAAATTTAAGACGGTAGTTTGGGAAACAATTTCATTACTATTCTGGTGCAAAAATACTGACCAGTTAGAAGGCAGTGCGTTCTCTTTGCCGCGGAACATGATACCCACATTGGTAGCGTGGTGTATGGACGAGTAGAAGTCAGAGTAGTCCCCGATTTCCGCCGGGACATGCATTTTTGCTTCGCTTTGTTTGACAAACGCTCTGTAAAATCAAGGACCTTACATTATGAGTCTTGAAAATCTATTTATAAAACTGTTAACTATAACGCTATCTTACCGTTCTCTAAGATTGGTGTCATTCTGTAGAGTAGAATTGGAAATATCTAGCAGGCTTTGTATGGTACTTCTCGCTTCAAGCCAGTGTGGTTTAGTCAAGCCCATAAAGGAATTCAATTTCTCTTCCTGAAATTAAACTTATATTTAGTAGTAAAAAAAATGCAAATAAAATAAATAATAATTGTAACACGCGATCTATGATTTTGCCTGTATTGGGTAATATTAATAGAACTGCAGCACATTGAACTTTAGCATGCTCTTGACTTGTCCTTTCATACGCATATAATTATCAGCTTGTATAAATACGATGTAACCAAAACAATAGGTGTGAGACAAACAAAAATATTAAATTCAAATTACTTTCGTTTTATTACATAAAACTGGAATTTCCAGTATGAAATAAAATCCTTATATTTATTATTAATTACATAAATACGCATAAATGTATGATATCGAAGGTTGACAGCCTTCCGAAAGTGGAATATAAACTGCATTGAAGAACCAGCCTAATGGTTTATGGTACGAAGATCCAATCACGTAGTCAAGGATTCGAATTGCGCCATTCAACTAATGTCATAGACCATATCCTAGCCCAAACCTAGAGTTAACTTGAAATGGTAAAAGCAATATAATGAACAAAGCCGCCAATATTTTAATTAAAAAAAACTAAACTTGCAGGTGTATGTCAGAAAGATCGAGAATAATTTATTCTAGTTTTTAATATATTCTATTCGGCAGCAATAAAAGTTACCGGCATTAGGTTCATTTACATTTTAATAAAGTTCAGTATAAAATATGTTGCAATAGCGACACACCTCCTTAGACCATAAACAAGAAATTAGCATATTGTTTACTTGTACCTTAAAAACATGTTGTTTGTCCTTCAACAAGGGTCCGTTGAATAAATGAGATATTGCATTCAAGTCTAGGATCCATTCTCCTATTGCGACTCCAATATGTTTATCGGTCTGCGAAAAGAAAAACAATAATATGTTAAATCACTATCATAAATAATAACAAAACGTAAGCTGTAAGCAGAAATTATCGATTTTTTTGTACTCGTATAATCCTAGTGTTTACTTTTATATTAAAAGTATAAAACAATTACAAAAAAATCTATGTATTGTTGTTACAGAATTTTAAGCGGAATTTATTTTAAAGTTAGTAAATCATTATTCATCTTACTTTAACTTCTTGCAAAAACTTAAAAATTGTCTTTGACCACCCTAATTTCGGGTTCGATTGTCAAATCATACATTTACTAATACGACGTACAAAAATGTATTTTTTTACAATCCCATACATATGAAAGTTAACTGTCTGATTACAATATCTTTATTACCGGTATTTCGAAAATAAACAACTTACATTCTTCGGCGATGTAAATACACCGTAAGGAAGATTTTCAATTGGAAAATCCGAATTCGGTGAATATTCGATGTATGATTTCATTTTGTTTCACTTGTGTCCACCGTCCAACTAAACGATTTTATTATTCTACAATTTGTAAGAATAGATAAACTTGTTTTATCTATGTAAATGTAGTCGACGAACGAGTTATAAAGCCGGCCGGTGCGAATCGACTGACTGGATTCCTTCCGTCGCCAAGGTCTTAATTACATCGCGCTTATCTGTGAATGTAGTACTTCAGGTTTTCAGTGTAGAAATATTTGTATTAAAACGTATAGTTATTTCTCTCGTTATCATTGAAAAAACAGAGACGACAATATTTCTAATGTTAGTGTTACGGCAGTGGAACTGGCACTTGAACAGATAATGTCTGTGTCAAAACACAAAAACATAACCTTAAAAGAGTTACTTATATTAATTAACCCCCTTCCATTGGTCAATCTAAAGTTTAGCACAGTATGATTAGTTACCATTTTGTTCTTGAAAAAAGTGAAGGGGGTCGGTTTTTAATCTAAATACTTATGATGTGGGGACACTTATGAGAAAATTTAATAATTACGCCTGAGAAAAAACTCGAGCAAATATTTATTTTATACGATATATGCGACTGTTTTTGCAGTAACAACCTGCTGTATGTCTGCTCTTATTATGCCACAAAATAAAAAACAAAACAAAATGTATATTTCAATTAACTTTATTATATCAAATAAATATATTTACATATCGAAGTCGACTTTACTAAGGCTAGGGAGCAGCGGGTCCTTGCGGAGGGTCTTGCGGTTGAACGTTGTGCTCTGAAGGAGGCGTTCGCGAGATTCCTTGACTGCCTGGAAACATGCAAGTGTTGGTGTATGACAGAAATATTAATTGTTAGGAAAATTGCTAAATTAATATTAAACTTTTTGAAGCAGACAACTCTATATGATTTCGCTGTTTATAATTTGGCCCTAAGGCCTCAGGGACGTAGATTACGTTGAGCGAAATAAAAAAATATGTCTCGAACCTACGGCGGTGAAAAACTCGTTAACTTTATGACAACAACTGTTTACGACTACGTGCAATGGTAGAGCATGTTAATAAAAAGCTAACCAAAGGCCAGAATTGAGAAAAAGACTGATCTATAGACCTAGGTCGATCAAATTTCCAAATTAAATTCGACATTTAAATGTTTTTTTTTATTAATTAGCAATGATCACTTAACACGTTGTGCTGCCTTTTAACTAAGGAATTTTTTAAACTATTTTTTATTAAAGGGAATAATTGAAATACGATAGAATGTATATTTACGGTAAACCGTTTATATGATAAATAGTGACAATACAATATATGGATGGTTTGGTACATAAATATTTATTTCAAAGAAAATATTTCTACATCAAAGTTTTTATACATAGCTTACACTGCGTTTACATCATATGGTACATTACATACAAATGGAAGTAAACTTTATATCACTATGTTGTTGAAACATACTAATAAATTGGAGTTCCCATTTTTCTAGTTTAGTTTTCTATATTTTATAGTACCCATTCAAGCAAACGAATATTACCTACTTTTAAAAAAATGTCGGAATGAAAGACACGAGTAATTTAAACGATATGATAAACGGACATAAGTTTGGTTTGCTTTTAATAAAATCGCCTCTATGACACTTCTTAAAGGCTTGGTTAACTGATGCATGGAAAGGAAGGCACTTTGGTGATTTGGAGGTTATTTTCTTACAAAGGAAATAAAGTAAGCGAATAATGGGGATAAAACTTCAATGATTTTCATAATCTATATTCATATTTTAGCAGCCATGTTATAAATGGGCGTAGAAATTGTATCTTTTGTGCATATTTGATTTTTTGAGTGGCCTTGCATACTCGCCATGGGAGCACCGCCGAGCCCCCACTTTTGATATAAATATTTACAACTCCCAGACACTTTCTCTTTTTCAAACTTACCTTTTACTTTGTGAACTGTCATCTTGCAAACTATTTATTTACTTTAACATAAAGATATCCAGTGATAAATACATGAAATGAAAATGGTCCCTGGATAATTTACTTTCACAATACATAGTTGAACAAACAACATACATAATTACTCAAGAAACGCTTATATGAGACATCAATGTGACAGTTCAAGCTAAAATAATACAATGATATTCAAATTAAATTATAAAATACTTAGTGTAGATATAAAAATGCTTTTTACTGAGAGGAATGTTTGAAATTAGGCGACAAACAACAAATTTAACAAAAGAATCCTTTTCTGATTAAACATGCTTTAAAAAAAAACTACAACCTTAAAACCTATTGCTACAGCAATATAGTTAAAAACCAACAAAACTGAAACCCTTGTAACTGAACTGAAAAACTTTAAAAATAATACCAATCTAATAATACTTTAATGCTTTAAAATTATTCAATGACTTCACCATTCCGCAGAGCTAATTTAACACTGGGATTATATTATTTGAAAATAACAATCATTTGATAGAATCTTCGCCTAATTTCAAACTACCCTCATGTCTATCTAGCACTATGCTACTAATGAGAAACCATCTCCTCTACACAATGTTGCGTCGATCTGCTGCAGTGAGGGTAGGCAGAGTTTCAATTTTCTCCTGTACGCCGGATCTGATGCTATTGGGTTCCTCTCCAGATATATTGTTGCTATCTTCTTATTATCTTTTAAATATTCTATCGATGACCATTCCGATATTTGGTTATCATTTAACTACAATTTAAAAAAATATTTGACAAACTGTTGATGAAATGAAGCAAAAACTGTATGTATATTTTTAGATAATATTCTTACTAATATAATCTAATTTACTGTGCTACGTAAAAATTATACTGGCATTGAAAATGTTTAGATGTTGTCATCTTACTAACATTATAAATTTGAATGTTTGGATGGATGTGTTTGTTTAAACGTATCTCCAAAACAGCTACATGAATCTTTCCGAAATTTGGCATAGATGTAGAACATAGCCTGCAAAACACATAGGCTACTAAGTTTTTTTGATTCCATACAGACAGAGTCCCAGCGACAGCTATTTAAATAAATAAATAGATTTTAATTTTTTTAACTCACCCATAACTCTTCTAAATCACTCATATGCCTTAAGTTTTCTATAACCGTAATCCTGTTCATTGCTAGATCTAAAGTTTGCAATTTTATCTGGTTATCCAAATTCTCTATAACGGATATACCATTCTCTGATATGTAAAGTTGTTCTAACGCTGTCAACTCATGTAGATTCTCAATCTTCGTAATCCTATTACTTTGAAGGACTAATATCTCTAGATCTGTTAGGTCTTCTAAATTCTGTACTTTTGTAATTTTGTTCTTACCCAAGTAAAGTTGCTTTAAAGTTTTTAAGCCATTGAGATTCTTTATTTCCTGCAAATAATAATAAAAATTAGTACTAAGGATATACAGTATGTATGAAACAGGAATGTGACAATACTTAAATATTGGATTCAAACCTATGACCAAGTGTACACACCCTTAACCATTAGGCTGTTGGCACATAAATATAATATGGGCAGTCTAGTCTTATATTAGGCAAAAAAAAAATACACACCCGAATTCGATTGTCACCCAATTCTAACAATTCCAGCTTAGGTAAGTGATTAACATTTTTGATTTCATTTATTTTATTAGAGCTCAAAAATAATTTCTTCAATTTCAATAAATTTCCTAAGCCTGTGATTTCTTTGATTCTATTAAAAGACAGGTCCAATATTCTGAAACAAATAAACAGAATTTTTACAACTATTCCAAACAGAACTTGGCTTAACTATCAGTTTACACCATACACACACTTGTATAAAAACAAATAAAGTTGAACCTGGATAAGCAAGAATCCTCCATTGTCCCATCCCAAAGGTATCTTTAGGCTAAAAACTAGGGTAAGAGTGAAATATCTATTATAAACGCAAAAAAAAATATTGTATTCTCTTGGACTCTCGGTTTTCAAGGTTCAACTGTACATCTCATGCTCTATGAAAAGATATAGACAATTAATTATACAATAAAAATAATTTTTCTTTGTTTTAAAACAAATGATTAAAGTGTCACTTACTCAAGATTAACAAGGTTGTCCAAATTCTCTATGACAACAATTTGATTGTCGTACAACTCTAGTTCAACTAAAGTCTGTAGTGTATCTAGACCCTCAATCTTTTTAATGAGATTCCATCTTAAATATAATCTGCAAAAAATGATGAAGCTATACAAATAACTTGTTAACACAAATCATAAGAAACATAAATGTATCAATTTTATGTGTGAGTTTCTTAAAATCCTTGCCAAAAACAAGCCTCGTCAAAAAATAATTTGATGTAACTTTCAAAATAATGTGTGTGTTAAACTTACATAGATCTTCAAGCAAGTTAGATGTCATTAGGAGGATTAAGATAGAGTCATACCTCTCTAAGTTCTTCAATGGTTCCAAATTCTCAATCTTGCCAATCCTACCATGGTTCAAGTCAAGCTCTTCAGTATTTTCATTTACAATAATTATTTCCTGAGTGTCAACGTCTGCCGGCGGAGGAGGAGTGACTGGCGGTGGCGGGGAACCTTCGTGATCCATTGCCTGGTCCTCGTTTGTTTTTTCGTTCTTATAAGTCGGTGTATCCTGATTTTCTAGGTAATTTGAAAAATTAATGAGACAAGATTACTTATTGCACTGTAAATATTAACCTCAAAAGAGACATACCTGCCATAACTAATCCTGTTCACTGACGAAACATACAACTATGATTATAAGTTGTACTATATACGTTTAATTATAATTTCTTCTGTGTATAGATATGAGGAAAATTAATAAGGTGATTCATCGATTGCCAAATCGACATTGACAATAAAATTGAACAACATTGTCAATTGTTGTGAAATCGATCATCGCTCTGCCTTTCTATCATGTCGATGTTTATTTCAAATTGAACTTATTTAACTTATGTAAAAATCTTTATCAATGAAAGCTTCAATTGTTGTGAATTATAATATTAATTTCACCAATTTTTATTGAACAGATTTTTTAATCATTTTCCAAGTTACTAAATTGAATGAATCGATAATTTGTTTGTATTCGATTCTCGTGGATTACTCGTGGACTTCTGAAAATTATTTGACATTTAAGTTTAATACTGTTTTGTTTTGACTCCGCCAAAATTTAAATTTTTATCAACATAAGTAATTTAAAGGTTTTTATTATGACGATTGCAATGCAAATGTGTTTATCCCATGTTTAAGTAAAATGTTATTGTGTTATCGCGGGCGTGTCGTTTGTTCAGGACTATGGAGAACGGGAGTCATTTTGACGGAGACAAGATAGAAAAATTTGATATCAAAATAAAGAAGAAGCCGAAAGATGGAGTAATATTACAGCTACACCACACTGTTCGAGATTCGCACGGAGACTGCCGTCGAATTCGTTTTTCACTAGCTGTATTTGATGATAATCAGGAAAAACTTGCTTGTACTGATAATGCAGGAAATTTATTTATTATCGACTTTTGTGACTTAAAGTTTTGGAAATTAGTAAATCATGGTATATGCACAGCTCTCCACTTTGTACCTGATAGGCTCGACGCTTTAGTCGTTGCTAGTTCAGATAAATTTGATCTCAATTTCTTAGATACAGAGACTGGATGTGTATCTCTTACATTGAGTGGACATACAGATCATGTGAAACATATATCATTCTCTAAAACTAAGTTGAACAATTTACTCACTGCTAGTCATGCTGAAGCTATTTTATGGGAACTTAAAAATTGTACAAAATATTTTACTTTAAATACTCATTTAGGATCACAAATTCAACAGATTATGTTCACGCCAGCAGGTGACTATCTGGTTGCATGCTTTCAAAATGATACAGTTCAAATATGGAGACATGATACAATGAAATCTGTGAAACAAATTATTCCAACTGGCTTAAAACATATAAAAAATATAGAATTTACAATGAATGGACGAGCTATGGTAATCGCAGGACTGGTACCTAAATTGATTTTATTCAGCATGGATACATGGAAAGCTGTGAAGTCTATAGATTTAACAAAGTACAATATTAAAGGTGTACAACATGTGGCCTTTGTACCACAGATGTTTGATGGTGGTGCAAATAAAATACTTGCAATTTTAAGTAGCAATTGTACTCTTCATTTACTAGATTTAGATACGCAAGACCTTGTTACTAACATATGCCCCCAATCTTCAAGTATCAAGAAGTTTGTTGTAAGTCCTACTGGAAAATACTTTCTATGTATATTACAGCTTGGAGAAGTTAATATATACAATTCAGCATTAGTTATAGAGAATTCTAAAGATGTAATCGTTGCTCCAGAGAAAAAAGAATTGCCCGGATGCTCTACAAATGCATACAGATGTAACATACAACAAGCTTTAGCAAATAAATCAGCAGTTGAACAGAAGATGCGTGCATGTATGGATAGTGCTAGATTGAGAAGAATTCTAATGCAATACGGTGAATATCCTGATAAGTTCCGTTCAATTATATGGAAGTCTCTTTTGATCACACCAAAAAATAAAGTAGCATATTCAGCTTTAGTTGATAAAGGTATCCATCCAGCGTACAAGAATATTGAAAAACAGTTTACGATACATAGCACTGTCACACTTAAGAATTTAAAAAGATTACTCTCATGCCTTGCACATTGGTGTCCCCTATTTGGTGTAATGAAGTTCTTACCGGGTTTTGTCTTCCCTTTTGTAAAGGTGCTGCAAAAGGATCCTTTACTCTTGTTTGAGTGTGTAGCAACTATTCTTATGAATCAATGTCAATTGTGGTTTGAATATGCTCCATTTCCACCTATTAGTGTTTTAGCAATGATTGAGAATGTTCTTGCTGAACATGATCAGCAGCTACTTGACCATTACTGTCAGCTGGGTGTGACCAGTCAAATATATGCATTGAAGATTTTAGAGACAGCATTCAGTGAGGTCCTCACTTGCACCGAATGGCTGGTCTTATGGGACCACATACTTAGCAATGAGCCAGCTTACATTTTAATGATTGTCGTCTCATATAATATTGTCCAAAAGAACGCTATCAGGAGATTAAAAACCGTTGACCAAATTGAAAAATTTTTTCACCTACAAAATCCAATAAATATGAAAGTGTTTCTTAAGAAAGCTTATGTATTTTTAAATGATACTAGTGAAGACGTTCATCCTAGGCGATTTTTTAATAGTTTTGTTTCGTTAGAAAAAGGTGGTTGTTATCAACAGTTTACTGGATATCCAAAAGCTACAATATGTTTGAAATTGGCAAGAGAGAGAAAGAAAGCAGTCAGTGCGGATAGATATACTCTCAGAGAACTTACAAAGAAGAGTCAAGAGAAAATAATTAACGAAGGAATTGATAAATTGGATATCGATTCCGACAAAGACAATGATAAAGATGTAAAAGACAAATACTACAAGAAGCACAGGCGAAAAAGTACTGTCCACTTACAAAACAAAGACGAATCCAGAAGTCGGGTCAGAGAAGAATTCTTAAAAAATGTTTTCTTCACATCCGATTTGGGTTTAAAAATCAGTAAAGAAACTGCGGAGTCAATGAGGACACGCAGATTTCGTGAATCTATACGGCCAAAGAAAAAAAGAAAATCTCCTGAAAAAATTCATTCATTAGAAAAGGAAGTCGAGAAATTAATGAAAAGTTGTTCAAATTCAGATACATCCGATTGATGTTTAAATTATTTTTAAACAGCGAATGTCGATTACAATTTAATCGGCAAGTAATTGTTGTGTTCACACCAATTGGTGAAAGATGAATTATTTGAAAAATGTTTAAAAAATAAAAATAACGTTTTTGATAGTTTTCCATTTTAATTACCTTTGTGGCATACTCAATGGTTAAAAAAATTAGGTCATACTTGTTTAACATATTCAAGCCTGGAATTCCATTTGCCACGATACTTGCGCATTTGCTTTTTCTCCAATTCTACATCCATACATTTACGTAACGCCCGATTATGCAAAACACAAAATACAAGCCATATATTTGTAATTATTTTAAATAGTACATATTATTTGGTCAGCAAAACTGTTACTCTGTTCTGTGATTTATTTTAAAATCATTCTAAATAAATTAACAGCGTTGAGTTTAAGATTTAATATAAATATCAAATCAATTACAATTAAAAATATATATTTTTACTAACAAAGAAGATGTCACATATTTTACTACTTTTTAGGCTTACTATTCTCTTTTAAAAGAAGATGGTCTTGGTATTGTTGACTTGATATGACTGTATTTCTTCTTTGTAGCACTAAGATTTGGACTGGATTTAGATGTGGCGGGTTCATTAACTTTAGGTATACGGACCGGCGTAGCTATTTTTTGCTTGAATATCACTAGATTAAAAAGAAAAATAATAAGAAATTACATCTAAACTAAAAAAATATTAATTAGATTTAAGTTACCTTAATATTTTACTTACTGTTTAATTTATTATTTTTTGGATGTGATGCTCCATTTTCGACTTTGGTATCGGTCGTGTCTTTTTTAAGTTTGAGAAATTTCGGTGAAACTCGACGGAACTTCGCTAACTTTCCTTCTTTTGATAATCTTTTATTAGAAAGTAGGTCGGATGTGGAAGCGCGCTCGGCATATAATTTTTTTGATTTTGGGAAATCGTAACTGGCACGTCTTAGTCCTGACAGATTTGGACTTGATGCAAATTGTACCTTAGAAGATTCTCCCTGTAATTATGATATTTTTTTCATATACACTTAGATTGGTGACTTATTCAAGTTAATCGAATTAAAATAACCTGCATTTTGCCTCTACACATTACCATGTTCGGTCCCCGTCCCGTCAAGCCACCCACGAATCAAAACAAAGTCTACATTGTAATTTGTACCTACAACGGTTAGCCATACCTTTAGTAAAGATATCTTCGACACATCCAAAGCGAGAGAAGACATGGACGTATCACATTTACCGTCCTCTTGAATTTCTTTAACAATATCAGCCAACTTATTTCGTAGACTTTCTGCGTGTCTTTCAGCTGACAAAAGCTTTTCCAATAATTTATTTTGATGACCTTGTATAGGGCTGGAATTAATATTTATGACAAAATAAATAGTATAATACGTATATATTCATGTATACTAACTTATACGTAACAGCTAAAACATATTGTTTTCTCAGGTTATTTTAAAGATAATGAAAGGGATGACAATAGTGTTCGAGTCTAAACAAGTTTCTATGTATTTACATATTATTCTATTAGTAAAAATCACCTCGATGTCTTGTTGCGTCGTGTAACGCTGTCCGGGGTTGAAGATAATGTATATGTGCTCTGCCTCTGGTATGTAAACTGAAACATTAGTCAATACAAAAAGAAAACCAGTAAAGGTTTTTTAAAATGAATTCAAGGAACTTTACGGGATTAGGTTGTGTGTAAATGCGTTTATTTTGACTTTATCAGTATCAAGAAAGACTAATTAAGACTTATGTATAGGTTCAGGACAGAGGGTAGAATCTAATTTTAATACTTTTACTTCTAGTATTGCTTACATTAACTCCGACATAAAATATTAAGATAATACAATTTACCTTCTTTTTATCCTTCGCATCATGAACATCGTTGCACGACATGTCGGTAGAGACATGTTTTTGCAAAGGTCCCGGCGCTGGAAGGTTCTGGTCGTTAGTGTCTTTGGCAGTCAGCGTGTCTAAAGATCGATAGCGGGTCGGTGTTTCCAATGCAAGTTGAAATTTACTGAAAATGTAGTCTTAACTAAAGTAGGCTCTCACTAAATCTACATTAAAGACCCCTCTCAGTAAAACATTAACGAGTCTGAATACAGAAGTTAATCTCATTGAAAATTATATTTGAATAATGTCTTACGGTAATTTGTTTGTCTCACCGTTTGTCCGGAGTTTTCATTTCGAGCATGCTCATCGATTTGTTCTCCATTGAGTCCCGTTTCGGCTTCTCCAGATCAGATTCGCTATTCTCTTTTATACCGCGCATCATTTCGAATAATTCTTTTGTTAAACGTTCGCGATATTGTTTCGGAAGTGTGCCGAGGAGGCTACTGCCATATTCCTAGAATAAAAATAAAATTATTGAGACCAAACTACACAGAAACTGGAGCGTCGTTGACTTAGTAGCTATGCACTGGACTTGTAAACTACAGGACGTATATTCTGTCTTCTCCATATACCAATATGTTGATATTTTATGTGCGATTGTGATTCTACGTTGGGCTTTTATTATTCTATTATTTACCGTCTCTAATTGTTTCCCTCCTGTCATCCCGGACACTTGCCAGATCCCGCTGTTCTGTTGCTGAGTGCTCGCAGGGCATGAACATGACAGGTTGTTACTTTCCAACACAACGTGCAGACCTGAAGTCTTTAAAAGACACTAATTAATTAAGCATTTCTTCTCAGTCAATAAGAACATTTGAGCTATCGGATAAATTGGACTACTAGTCGGGCAACTGGTTTACCACACAGTCGATTAACCCTAACGGTAAAAAAATCAAATCAGTCAATCCAGTTCATTCAGCAATCAACCATCAGTTGCTAGATCTTTCAAGCAACTATTTGAATGATTAATCGAGCGTTAAGTTGACTTATTTAACTAAGCATTGGAATAACCTGTCTAATTAACGATTTGGTATTAATTTGCTTTGAATTTGTTATAAGATGTATTTACGGGGCAATTGATAACGACGGTTCTAGCAGGTCCATCTTCACTGGCGTTGCCATCAGTGGTGGACAATGTTTTCACGGAGTATCCCAAGCATTGTAGCAAAGCGCATAACTCTACCGCGTCGCTGTGTGTTTCCTGAAATATAGTTTATTGACAGGAAAGTAATCACCTTACTTATTTAAAAGGTACGTAGCATTATTCATTCTGTGTTTCTATTTTGATTTGTTATTTGACACATTGAGAACAATTTCTTAGTTCTTGTCGCCAATCAAATTTCAGACAAGTAATTTATTATTGCAAAATTTAGGATTAGGTCTTTTCATTGGTAAATCAGAAATTATTTCATTTTTCGTTGGAAAATAAAATAGTTTCGACTAAATAGAAAGTCGAAAATTGGGATGTAACATAACACGAATACTAAGTTCACACTCACCGTTTCAGGCATCGTCTTGTTTCATATAACTCGCTTTTAATGGAGTCTTTTTGTTTTTATATTATAAACGGTATCTTAGGTGATATTTTTGTCTTTTTATTAATTAACTAACTTCCCGACACGATGTACAACGACAAACAAATGACATTAGTTTTTTGACGTTTACTAAACTTACCCTACCTAACCTAACCCTAACATTTACAACTACCCACAACAAAACATCGTTAAATGTTTGTCATACTAAAATTTTAAATCGATTTAATTAATCTCGATGTATGTGATAAATTCAAACAGCAAAATAAGTGGTTAGGTTTGATTAATATTTTTTTGGTAATTTGTTGTAATAAAACAAAGTTTATTTCAATACTTTTATTCATATTACTTAATAAATTTAAACATTGATGTTAAAATGTATGATAATTTTAACCTCAAAATTCTTCCAACTTTGTCTAAGACATAGATCAAAGACGATACAGAGTCGACAAAAGAATAAAAGAGGTTATATTATTTTTTAATTGTAGGTCATGTAGCGCGGCGTGGCTGAGAACTTGGCGTAGGACTTGATGACCTTGTTGACTGCCTCGAGGAAGTCCTTCTCAGTGGCGACCTTGCGGCGCGCGCGGATCGCGAACATACCCGCCTCCGTACACACAGACCTGACCGAGACATTTTGATTTTTATTAAATATACGTAATACCTCAATATAAAATTACAGATTCAAAGCCTTAATTAGGAAAAAGATTGATTTCAGTATATTAGTGTTTTGGCAACATATTTACCTGATCTCAGCCCCCGTTGAGTTAGGACAGAGTCTAGCGAGAAGGTCAAAGCGTATATCACGTTCAACGCTCATAGAGCGGGCGTGGATGCGAAAGATGTGCGCGCGGCCCTCCAAGTCCGGCAGACCGAACTCCACCTTACGGTCAAGACGTCCTGGCCGCATCAGCGCCGGGTCCAGAGTGTCAGGACGGTTCGTTGCCATCAGTACCTATAAAATGTTAAATACTTGAGATACACCCCAATACCAATATTATAAAGAGGAATGATGCTTATTTGTATTATATAAGATTCTAAACTGATGAATCGATCTCCGGGTGACATAGGCTTTATTTATTGCTAGATATTTTAACGCGGACCAAGTTGTTGGCAACTGATATAATACGTCAGATTACGAACAAAATGACATATTTATGCAGAATAAAAGAAAGTTTTTGAACGTTAATATGACGACTGGTAGGTAGTTACAATTGAGTTGAGTTTTTACATTCTGCTTAGTCTATGAGATTGTCTTATCTTACAAATAGTTTAATTTGTACTGCAATGTGTAGCCTTGTCGCTTGTTTTATAGCGACAAAGTTGTTCATAGCAGCGAAAGTTCACTCTGGGAGAGTTGTATCAGAAATCAATCAAGACTTATAGACTGTTTTCTTTCTTTGCTCTCCAAACAATACAAAAAACTAACAAAAACAACAGAACACTGGCTGTCTACTTTAAGGAGGTTTTCTTATTATCTTTTTTTTAACTCCGTCAATAGCAGTACTTTCCAAAAAGTTCCTATGCATACACTTACCTTGATATTACCGCGAGGGTCGAAACCGTCCAACTGGTTGATGAGTTCCAACATAGTTCTCTGCACTTCGTTATCACCACCAGCGCCGTCATCAAACCTTTACATAGACAAATTTTACATTTTTTGTGACTTTACCTTAAAGAGGGACAGCTTTACCAGGCTTGAAGCGAAGTCATTGTAAAAACATAGAGAATAAAAAGTTTTGATACGTCACAGCAATGTAAATACAAAGTTAATCGATTAAGTTATTTACCTAGCACCTCCGATAGCATCGATTTCATCAAAGAAGATAAGACAGGCCTTCTTGCTGCGCGCCATTTCGAACAACTCGCGCACCATACGGGCACCTTCGCCTACGTACTTCTGTACCAACTCGGAACCTGAATAACACATTAACTAATTACTAATATACTATGTTCCAACAATTCAGAATCTAGGTTAAGAATATTTGTTTTTTTTTGTTGTTGTAAACTTTTGCCATTTAATCTGATAATCTTCGGTAACAACCTAACGAATTATTTTAGACTAACTGTCACCCGCAAATCCGTACATGTGTAGTTAAAAAAAAAACTTAATTAGTAGCCTATGTGTTCTTACAGACTATGTTCTATATGTACGACAACTTTCATAGGAATCCATTTAGTCTTCCTAGCGATACCAACAAACAAACATCCATCCATCTAAACATGCACGTTTATAATACTAGTAGTAAAATTTGTTTATTTAGAAAATAAATTGTACTTCAATAAAGTTTCTCTTGTCACTTATATCTCGTAACAAAGTGAATCCTTGAAATAGTTTACTATTGGAGAGTTGTATCAGACATCCATCAATACTGTAAGATGGGATTCTTTCTTTACTCTCCGTTACTTGCAATGCAATTAGATGGTCATAACAATATATATTTATGCTAAATTATACCTCTCATAGCAACAGTTTGATTTACAATACTCAATCTTAAGTGATAAGTAACTTTAATTCTTTAATTGCAAGAATGTGAGTTTCTGCGCAGAACACAAAACAATTTTAGGTGCAAAAGGACGTAAAGGTATGCGGGGGGGAGGTCAATGATATGCGCGGATGACCTTGAGACAAATAGATTTTAACGGCACATACAAAGTACTTTTCAACTCACCAATAACCCTGATGAAGCAGGCGTCAGTCCGGTTGGCGACAGCTCGAGCGCACAGCGTCTTACCCGTGCCAGGAGGTCCAAATAGCAACACACCTTTAGGCGGTTCAATACCCAACTTGACAAACTTCTCAGGCTGTTATTATACAAAAATGAGAAACTGATTATAAAAGCAATATAAAATAGATAGAAAATAAACCTTCAAATCCTTTTAATGCTAGTCAGACATTTTGATTAAGTAAAATTTGAAATACTAAACACATTTTTAGTTATTGTATTTCTTATTCAAATAATTGTGGTGTCATGTGACCACCTAAACTTTAATAAGCTTAAGTGGTCATTTGACACCATATCTGTAACTTTACCCTGTAACAGTTGTAGGGAAGCAGTCACTTTGCTATTTTAGCTATACAAATATACTCTTGGGTCTTTTTGTCAGTGTAGTTCCTAGGTTCTAGTATTAAAGGCTTACATGCAACAATGGTGTTTCAACAACTTCCCGCAGCTTCTCAATTTGTTCCTTACAGCCACCAACATCACTGTATGTCACATCCGGTTTCTCCTCCACCTGCATCATGGTGACTGTCGGATCTATCTTAGGAGGTAGCGGAATGTGGATCTGGTATTTGTTGCGGTCAACTCTAAAAATATTTATTAAATTATTGTTTCTAGACTCTGGGATGTAACAAGTGTTAAATACTATCAAGAAATTTCCATACTTAAGTATTTGACTTACACAAATAAAATTGTAATTTCAATCATTCTCTTAGGAAAAAGGTTTTACCATAACAAGTCTGATTTTAAATTAATAAGGTCAATATATTTGTTTGAAATATAATAATATAGTTCAATTTAATATCTCAGTGTTGAAACTCTGTTTCACACCAAGTGAAAGAATTGAACACAATATTTTTGGGAAAGTGTGTCAGAAAATGCTAAATCTTGAAAGCTATTTTCTAATTTCATTCCCAATAAACTACTTATAATTTGATTCTTTAATGCAGTTATATCCTTTAAAAGTTAAAATAATTAATTTATAACTCTAGATAACAAAGTATGAATTCAGTTTAATGGAACTTTGGATGATACTAAATAATATAAAACAAAAAAAACATATAAAATAAATAAAGTACCAACCCTACTCTCATACCCTCTTCAATATCAGTAGGAGCCACTGAGTCCGCCAGATCAACCACAAATTTAGCAAACTGTTTTACATTTATTATATACTTTGGATCATTGGAATCTGCATTGATGATTTTTGTGCATCTCGCCACCTTTAACACAAAATTATTTATGAAATATCAAATTACAGTAATTAATTTTTATAGATATAATAGAATAATCTATCCACTGTGTGTGTCTTTATAGACATGATAGGAGAACCATGTTATAGTGAATGAACATCTAAAAGTATCTGAGTTCCTACAGTAATGGGTGCTTCAGCTTCCCATTGTGACAATCAATCTTTAGATCCATCAGTCCAATGGGCAATTCTCTTTTCAATTGGGCTATTGGCACGTTAATACATGTCATTCCTCTCATTTGATTTAAGAAAACAGAGACAATATTTTTAAATACAAGTTTTACAGCAGTTGATTTTCAGTAGAACTCTTTGATGAATTCGTGTAATTAATTGGCTGCTTGGTTGTGTGCTGCCTTATAATGTAAAAAAATGGATAATGAGATATCTACCTGTAAAGGTTGTTCATTCTGTAATGTTTGTTTATCAGCAGCCAAATCCCATAATGCTGGTGGTGCCAGTCCTGTGTCAGATTCTTTTATGCCTGTTAGTTCATTGACCCTCTTCATTACTGTTTGAATACCATCTTCAACTTCCTTGATAATCTTAGTATATTGTCCTTGACCCTAGAAAAAGACGAACCACTTGGTTATACTCTCAAACTTAGTATTCTCACACTTTATCTATAAATTGTCAAAATACTTATTTTTAAGTGAAAATGCAAAGTCATTCTCACTACAAAATAATTATTCTATGCGGCAAATATAAAGTTAAATACTTACATATGATTTTAATAGCGCAATATCTCCTTCATCAAGTGCTGAAAATAGACCAAACTTATAGAAATCATTATAAATAAAAAATTATACACAAAGGGTTAGAAATTATAAGCCAATAAATTACATTTAATCTCCTTTTCTGGTTCTTCTTTGTCATCTTTAACTTTTCTCATATCGTCTCCTAAATGATCTGGCATTTTTACTTTATTATTTTCTTTATCAAATAAACAATAAATAAATTTATATTTTAGTTTTATAATGTAGGAAAACGAAATTCATGAACGTAGACTAAAAATTGATTTTGACAATTTATTTCATGAATTGTCATAAATTGACCACAGCGTATATAAATCGACGGTAGTTATGAAGTATAAATTTTGCTAGTAAAAAAATATACTTTGTCTTTTTATATTAAATTGAAAGCAATGATTTGCTTTTTCTATCTAATCTTGTTAGATAGATAAATAAGTATAACCTTTTCAAATTATTTAAAACTGATTATTCAGCTGCAGAATATTAACAATGACCGACGAGCGAAATATTTCCTATTTTTAAACAATACCCTACATTCTTGATGATAACTTGCCCTTAGATAATTATAAATATAATGTTTTAATACATTTATGCTACTTTACAATTTGAAACCAAATATTTATTTATATATTAATTTCTTTTCTTAATTGAAATGTAACTGAACGCTGAACGCATTGACAAATCCTATTCGAGAGCCACCTGCCGGTCTTTTTCAGTACTAAAATTTTGTATTCGTAGTGCTGAATGGAGAATCACATTTTTTCGTGTTTTTAATGAATAATTGCTTTTGAAATCTAGATTATTCAAGTTTAGGTGAGAAACAATTTTACTAATATTTGCTATATTCAAGTGGTGGTAAGTGTTATTAGCTATACAAAAGTTTTTCCCTCAGCATGACCCAGAATGTAAGTAATGTCAAACCCCGGTTTTACTTGCAATTTGGATTGCATTACGTGCATTTTAGATATTACCAAAAGCTATAATTATTTCATTTGTATTGTAGCAAACTTACGGGTAACCTTCTATGCTGACGTTTGCATGTGTATAGTGTTGAGATTGCAACGCGGTATCGCCCGGTCTTCGTAACATTTCTTTTGAGAATGTCTGGAAGAATGCTCGGATTTATCTCGGTGTTATCTGTTAAGATATCTATTCATCTCCAATATCTATTCATTTTTACAAGATGGATTACAATTCGGTTTTCTTCGACATAAAATTGTAATGTTTTGTATTTTAAAAAAGGTTGGTATTTGAAAACTCTTTGTTAGAATTTTGATAATCATCTTGTTAGATTTCGCGGGTTGTTTAAATGTTCGTATGTCGCTATGAAATCAATATGTTTAGATTACATCATTTTCAAGGTTTATTTGCTAATGGACAAGTGACCCAATGTGTAACTGATAAGTATATTTTTATAACCTTTCTTGGTATTAATTTGATAAAGTGCTAAAAGTTCAAATGTGTAACAACAAATTTGATATTGTGGTACATTTCATTTGATTTCTAACATTGATCTAATAAGGTATGTAAGCTTTATTAAATTAAAATTCATAATTTAGTCATTAAAATTCAAATAAATTATTTTAATTAACATTAAAATTTACTTCATTCTGAGATGAATTTCATGATATAAATATAATCAATTTAAATTAATTACAAAATATTCTTATTGGAATAGTATAATAATTTAACCTTTTTTTTAACATTATATAAAGAGTAAAAAGGTTATACAATGACTATTCAGAAAACAACAATATTGGCCTTTCATTGTACCAACTATCAGAAATGTTTGTCCAATGTTTGACCTGCTATCATTGCACTTGTGCATGCTTCATTCACTTGGGATGCTTTCTATAAATAACCATACTGTAGTCTCCAGTGTGAACAACACTTGTCTTCCTTTATACATAAAATTTATCTCCAGCAATTTTTTATGAAGAGAATATTTTTTTATGTATTTGATTGTGTTGTGTTAAAGTTGTTTATTCTGTCTGTAAAATAATAGTGTGTTGTGCAAAATGTCATTAACTCCAAGTTCAATGAATCTCTTGGGGTTTTTATTGTGTTTTGAATGTTGTGATGTATATTTTTAAAAATATCTTCAGTAAGGTATGTTGAGTTTGCTTGACATATGGATTTTATTTTTTATTGTATGTGTAAAATTATTGCTAATGGTTACATACTTTAATGTCTTTGGTGTTAGGTTTACATTTGTTTTTTTTTAAATAACATTTTTATTAACATTGTGAAATTAATATATTTGAAAAATAATTAAAAAAAAAATACAAGGAGAAGTTAGGAATTATTTTCATATAACATTTAATTACATCTTAAATCAATATATGTAATGATTAAATTTATAATATTTAGTGAAAATATTTTATTATAATACTTATTTAAAGTTATAATAGTTGCTTTGAGAAGATTTATAAGTGTACATTATGTTGTAGGATTAAATGGTTGAGTAATTGCCGCAACTATTTTTATACAGCTTTTGTATGACTAAGGGATTTCATTTTAATACTATTATACTTACAGTACAGAACAATGCTTGTACATTTTATATCATTGTATGGTCTCTGAAATTGCTATGTATAAAAATGTTTATAATTGATTTCCAATATTTTACTTTAACTCATATTAGAAAAAATTAGCAATTAATTCAAGCTTTAACTGTGTAAATATTGAGTAATCTGCACTTATATTTTTTTTTTAACAAATAAATGTAACTGGGTAATTTCTTTTATCTCTGAGTAATATAGGCTGCGCCAGGAATGTCCAACCAATCACACATAACTTTGAGCTTGTCGCTTATCAAAAAAAGTCTTTATGAACTAGAAAAAAGTGTGGAGTAATTATTAATAAGTCTAAATATGAATGATGGATATGGCAATTTTAGGAACAGTCACAAAGTGAACATTATTTGATGGCATATCTATGACCTTGTAAACATTTCTCTATGTTGTATTTAATATTTTTATTAATGTCTAAAAAATAAGTTAATGTATTGTTAGGTGGATAGCCGGAATGGAGCAATAGTAATAATGATTAACCAAGGGTAGTCCCTTATAGAGATTAAATAGTTATAAAATTGTAAATTACTGTATTCTAGTCAAATTTTAAAGTAACAAACTTTATAAACAGTTGGTGATACAGAGTTCTTTCATGCCTTCTAAGAACCTCCAATACAAAGAAGATCTGTGTAAAATGCTGAAAAGATTGTGAGAAGGAGATTTGTGAAATTGGACTTATTTCATATTTTCAACTACAAATATACTAATTGGGGAAAAATAACAGCTGTATAATAGGGCTCTATTTCAACTGAATTAACTTCTAGTAATATTATTACTAATATATTTGTTTTGATGAACAGTGTTGCTGGCGAGTTGGCGAGATGCACACAGCCAGCGCCGAGGGTCAGTACCGCGGTACCAATGGGTCTACGCATGGTAGAGACAAAGTCGCCATATTGGATGCAGGATCTCAATATGGGAAGGTATGTGACTGCCAACCTTTTTTATGTATGAAGTAACATAGTAGTAAAGTGATAAGACTAATAATTACTAACTTGGAATATATTTTTAATTAACACTACTAATAAACTTTTTTTTTTAAAACAAGGAAGTTAAACCAGATATCAATATCAATAACCATGACTTCCAATACCAAAATATGTTGAAAAACATGTTATTACGGTTTTTTTTTGTCAAAGAGAATAGCGGTGATTTATTTTTTATTCTACTTTAAACAACTTTTGCTCCTTGTTTACACAGTTGTAAAGTTTGTAAGGGCATTATGTTTACATTTAGGTAAGAGGGTTAACCTTGTTACAAACATTCGGGACAACTTGTTCTAATGACGCTTGTTGGTATCATTCTACAACCTTACATCTTACTATTATAATATTATAATTGCAAATGTTTGGACGTATGGATGTATGGATGTTTGTAAAAGGGTATCTGCTGAACGTCTTGATGGATGTAGATGAATTTGACATAGATATAGAACATAGTCTAAAAGACCACATGCGTTATTAATGAAGTTTTTTTATTCGGCGCGGACGCAATTGCGGGCAATAGCTACCCTTGTTATGGCTACCACCATATATGAAATTCTTGCATTGGTTTTAAATGAATTATTCTTTTAAAATTTTAAGTGATTTTTTCCCCAGGTGATAGATCGAAGAGTGCGTGAGTTATGCGTGGAATCGGATATCTTGCCGCTGGATACGCCGGCGTATCATCTCAAGGAGGCCGGCTATCGCGCCATCATTATCTCTGGAGGACCCAACTCTGTGTACGCTGAGGATGCACCCAGATACGATGCGGATATATTTAAGATAGGCCTACCTGTACTAGGTAATTAGTTAAAAAAATGTTCAATTCTTCTTACGCCTACTAACAGGGTTAAAACAATTTTGTAAAGAAATATCAACTACTACCTTGTAAAACTAAAAAGCTTACTTAATACCAATGTAATAAAAAAAGTAAAAAGCTTATTTTTAATATATTTTAGCCTGTTTGCCGTTGGGCCGATTGATCTACCAATCCATAAGGTCATTAGGACCACTAGGAATATTATTTTATTCTATATTGTCTCAATCGGCCCAATAGCAAAATAAATCTCATTGGGCCGATTGATCAGCGATCGGCGATGAATAATAAATTTTAAAAAACTAAACTTCTCTCCCATTTACAATATTTGCAGCTGCTTACAACCGTACAAACATACAACGATTCATTTTTATTTATATAGATATAATATTATGATTGTTGTGCAGGTATATGCTATGGTATGCAGATGTTGAACAAAGAGTTTGGTGGCTCAGTGCTGCGGAAGGAAGCTCGAGAGGATGGACAGTACGAAGTCGAAGTTGAGACCACATGCCCATTGTTCAAGTAAGTTACCACATTTTATTATGTTTATATATTTTGTTTGTACTTTTTGTCAGTACAAACATCAGAAGTTATTGAAAAAAGTTTTTTTTGTTAGTTTTGTATTGTCTGTGGTACATATGAATATTCATACAGATAATATCTGACAGACAGAATTTTTTTTCTTATTATCTGGAGTGCCAGTATCATATTCTGTTTTTTTTTTGTGAAATCTTAATATTTGTATTTAATTTTAGTCGTCTGGAGAAACTGCAGCCAGTGTTACTGACACATGGAGATTCGGTGCAGAAGGTTGGGGAGAGGTTCCGTGTGGGCGCTCAGTC